CAAGCGACACACTTTCTTTTCTACTTGTGGGTCACTTGGCAGTTCGGCACCTACATTACCGCGGTCCACACTCAACACCGGTCGGGGGGGAGAATTATTCAGAGATGGCGTGACGATTCACTCCGTCACAGCACATATATGTATACATATGGGCAATTTCATGTGATAGGGTTTAGCAAAATAAGTAGGGCAAAAGTGATCCAAATATATTTTTTCCATTCATTCCTACTCACTTAAAAATAACTTTTTGAAATTTTTAACTCAAAATTTTGAGTTTTTTGGAACTTGTGGAGGGGAAAAAATCGAAAAACACATTTTTCTCAAAAACTACTGTATGCATTTTAATCAGCTTTGGATATGTTGAAAAGACAATTAAAGAGATTCCAAAAGAAATTTCAAATTTTTTTTTAAAAAATTCCAAAAATCTTTTTTTTTTTGAAAATTTTAAAATGAAATTTTTTTGAAATTAAAAAAAAAATAATTTTGTAGTTCTATTAAAGTGACATTTTTATGTATTTTCTCATTTGTCTTATGTGATCAACTTAATAAAAAAATTTTGCCTGACATGATTTCAGAGTGTGTCACGGTAAATAACTCAAAAACCCTACCCGGTACATTTTTATGTTGTATGTGAATGGTTAATTTTAAAAAACCTGTCAAATATTTTTACAATTTATTACTAGTGGGTTATTGAGGTTGCTAAATAATATAAAAAAATATTTTTAGACAAACAAAAAAATTTGGAAAATTTTAAAATCAAATTTTAGGATTTTTTGAGTTTTTTTACCGTGTTGCACTCTAAAATCATCTAGGCCATTATTTTTAAAAAAGTAAGACTGTTAAAAACGTTACATAAATAAAGTGTGATGTACCGCTACAACGCAACGATCCAAAAAGAAAAAAATTTTAAATTCCAAAATAAAAATTTTTGGATTTTTCTTTGGAAATAATTTTTTTTGACATCGATTTCAGACTTGTATTCAGAAAACCCCTAAGTATTAATTTGCAATTAAATAAATAATTAATTAATTAACCATTCACATACAACATCAAAATGTACCGGGTAGGGTTTTTGAGTTATTTACCGTGACACACCCTGAAATCATGTCGGGCAAAATTTTTTTATTAAGTAGATCACAAAAGAGAATAAAATGAGAAAATACATAAAATTATCACATTTATAAAACTAAAAAATTTTTTTTTTGAAAATTTCAAAAAATTTCTATTTTGAAATTATCAAAAAAAAAAATTTTTGGAATTTATTGAAAAAAAAATTTGAAATTTTTTTTTGGAATCTCTTTAATTGTCTTTTCAACATATCCAAAGCTGAATTAAAATGCATACAGTAGTTTTTAAGAAAAATGCGTTTTTCGATTTTTTCCCCTCCATAAGTTCCAAAAAACTCAAAATTTTGAGTTAAAAATTTCAAAAAGTTATTGTTGAGTAAGTAGGAATGAATGGGAAAAATATATTCGGGTCACTTTTTCCCTACTTATTTTGCTATACCCTATCACATGAAATTGCCCATATATATACATAATTATATGTGCATATAATATTACCGTACGTGACAAATAGCATGACCATGGTTTTTGACATTTTACTCAAAAACTATATTTCTAAAAAATTTGGAAGAAATATATGTTAAAGGGGACATTATAAGGTACTTTTTACAACAAAAGAGAAAGTGGTCACTTCAAAAAATAACCCTAAAAAAAAATTTTGAAAATTTCAAAAAATTTTTTTGAAAATTTTTTTTGAAAAAAAAATTTTGTTTTTATTTTTCTAAAATCGTCTTATCTATATTTACAACCCCTTAAAATTTCATTAAAATCGGTTCAGTAGTTTTCGAGAAAAATAAGTTTTTTGATTTTGCTTTCCCCCTCCATAACTCCCCCAAAAAAGCGAATTTTTAGTTCAAAATTGCAGAAAGTTATAGTCATATGGATAGTAATATATGGGTCAAATTTAAGAAAAATAGATGCGGGGGCAGTTTTTGCACACTTAACCCCCTAAGCCCTTTCTGTAAGTGGGGTAATATATTGATTAGATAACGGGTTTTTAAGGAAATTGAAAATTTAATTTTTGACAAAGTTTTTTGGCAAAAGTTACCATTTTTACCTTCCTTAAGGTACTACTACACTTTAGAAGGCTCCTAAAAGACCAAATTTTTAAAAAAAATTTCTTAGGTCTTTTATTATAAATATTTAAAAAACTCTTTTGCCTATATTAGTACATATTTGGAGAATAAAAATAATGGTTTGTTTTTAATTTTTATTTAATATCATAATCTGCAGACAGCATTCAGATCGAAACTCCAAAAAGTTAGTTGTCCAATTGCGGACAGTTTATCTCAAGATTGACAAATCGGAAACAAAAAATCCAAATTGCTTTTTAAAAAGGAAGGTGTCTTGCATAGAAATCTACTACCAATAATGAAAAATCGACTAAAATAAAAAAATAGCAGATGTTTCAATAATTTGTTTAAAAATACACTATCCCTTACCAATGAAATAAATTAGAATATGCGTGGATTTTACTTTGTAATTAATGTAAGTATGGATGTCAACAATATTCATAATATTGAATAAATAATATCGTCAACTAGTTTAAATTTGATACGGTTATTAGAATTTAATAATAAATAAATAAAAAACATTAATTTTTTCTTAACATTTTTCAAGTTTGACACTCCTCATGGTAAAGGAGGAGGGTCTATAAGGCCTATTTTCGGCCCACTTCGACTTTTTTAAAAAATGAATTAATTGTCATGAAAATCGTCACTCGGGGGTTTTTGGGTCCTGGATTACGAATCTGATGTTAGTTTTTCAAAATTAACATCATATTCGTAATCAGCGACCCTAAAAACCCCCGAGTAATGATTTTCAAGCGAATTAATTCATATTTTAAAAAAGTCATCCGCCATATTGGATCCGCCATTTTGAATTTTGCAAAACTAATACCAGATTCGTAATCAGCGACCCCAAAAACCCCTGAGTAACGAGTTTCAAGCCAATTAATTCATAATTGAAAATTTTTTTACCCTTTTTTATACCCATTTTTTATTCGAAAACCCTTATTATTTAGGGGTTAATATTCTCCAAATACCTTCATTTAACCTTCAATCATCATAATTATCATTTTTCTTTGGCGGAAAATTTATTTCAAGCTTTTAAATAAAAATTTGAAGTGGGCCGAAAATAGGCCTTATAGACCCTCCTCCTTTGATTATTCATTTTTTTCCGTGTACAAAATAGTGAATTGACCTTGAATGAAATGTATAATTAATTATTCTCAAAGCAATATTTAATAATTTAGTTAACTTAACTGCACTGCATAATAGTTGAGAGTAGTAAGAGTAAGTGAAACGGTAAGATAAGTGAACGACCATTAGTGTGAGAGAGAGAATAACTTGTAGTTTTGGAGTAGGTATCTACTTTATGTGCACTGCGTTCATTCTTCGAAAGAACTGGACTGAGTACTAGTTGTTCAATATTCGCTTCTATTATTGACTTGTGTTTTGTACACTGCCGTATTCTTTTAACAATTACATGAGAAAGCAATTTCTCATTCCAATTTTTTATACTCTTATTCCCTCTTAGACTATATAAACACCCAGTGAGAAATTGCCAATAGACTTTAATCGGTCCAATATCGGTCCAATATTGGTTGCCGTGCTGGGCGCCGATTGACTCCCAATATTGGACCAATATGGGCTGATGCTTGGGATGTAACGGCATCGCCAATCATCGGTTGTCAATATTGGTCCAATATTGGCCGAATATTGGCAACCAAGAGAAAAAAATTTTTTTAAATAAATTTTTTTTAATTAAATAATAATAATAAAAAATTAATGTTTATAATTTTTTTGTTTAATATATTTATTTGTTTAATTATTTATTTTTAATAATTCATGTGAATAATAAATAATTTATTATTTATAAATTATAATTATTTAAAAATGCAGCAGCTATTAGAAAATAGCATTCTGCAAAAAAATTCTATCATTGAAAAATCAATGATAGGCGAGAGAAATCCGCGTCTTTAAATAGATTCGCAGATGATAGACAAGAGATATCCGCGTCATTAAACGGATTCGCAGATATACTCTGGTCTCGCGACGAATCTCTCGATACTTATATACACTGGAGTCGCCGTGTCAGTTGCGAGAACGGTTACAGCGTCCCTCTTTCGGCGGAGATAAGAATTGTCACGTAAACTGCGGGTATAATAAGGCGGTCGGTAAAGCGATTTAGCAGTTTACGTGACAATTCTTATCTCTGCCGCAAGAGGGACGCTGTAACCGTTCTCGCAACTGACACGGCGACTCCAGTGTATATAAGTATCGAGAGATTCGTCGCGAGACCAGAGTATATCTGCGAATCCGTTTAATGACGCGGATATCTCTTGTCTATCATCTGCGAATCTATTTAAAGACGCGGCTCCCAATATTGGACCGATATTGGACCGGTGAGAAATTTCTCACTGGGCAGTCTTGTTTAAGCTGATGAATGGGATAACTTGTGTTTAGTCCCAAACTGTTCAGCTATGAAACTTCTAATATTATAGTGTGTACTTGTCACATATTATTCTATAAAGGAGTACTACACTGACTGCATAAATTATTTTTCCATTTTTCTCCGTGATATAATGGAATCAATCGAAATAAAATTAATTACTATTACATGGTTAAACAAAACGACAACTGGGTCAAGAAATCGAGAAATTGGTATCCGAGCCTAGATAAATGGTTTTTTGCATACAATTTCTTTTATAATAATTATTTGATAAATAAATTACTTTTCTTAAAGAAATTATTCTTTGCAGTGAACATTTCTAAAAAAATTATTTGTGTAGAAAACCTGGAGGAATTTCCAGTGAAATTTCTGGAATTTCATACCTTTTCCAGGTTTTCCAGGCCCTTTTTCAAATTCCATGCCATTTCCAGGTTTTCCAGGCTCTGTGGCAGCCCTGTTAAAAATATAGATTGTTTAACTTACATTTATCAAAGGCGGCTCATGTTTACAGTTTAGAAGCTTTCTGCGAAGCAAATTTCCATCCAATTCTAGAAACACTTGATGCAATTTTCTGAATTCTTCAATTTGTTTATTTCCTACTTTTTGCTTTTTTGGAGAATTCCAGTGAATTATCTGAAGAATAAACATTTACTTTATGAAATTGCGGAAAATTTTTTTTATAAACTTGAAAACTTCTACACTGAGAGACCTTTGGGTCAGCAGCAGACTTTCGATAGGCTGCTACTGACCATTTTGAAGGAACGCTACAGGACTATACTTTTGGGTTGCTGCGGTAAAATCTTGGGCGCGTGACAGTCCAAAAGTTGTTCAGCTGCAAACCAAAGGCGGCATAAAGGCGGCATTCCCACTACTTCGGTGAGCTGCTCACCAACATTTGGGACTGTCACGCGCCCAAAATTTTACCGCAGCGCACCAAAACCATAGTGAAGCTGCTGTCACATACGTTGTTTCGCTACAGTCCCAATGGTCTCTCAGTGTAACAATTTATATTTTTCAAATTTCAAAACAATATATTTTATTAGAAAGATTAACCTGCTATTTGTTTATGCAATTTTAATACTATTCTTTATTGAATAAATTTTGAGGGTTAAACTATTACCATATGAATTATATTAGAGAGTTTTCGGAGTTCGTGTTATAGATGCTGTGAGTATATAAGTGCTTACAGCCCTCTAACCGTGTACCCTGAATACTCCCTATTTCATATGGTATAATTTCAGTATTCTGACATTTTAGCTAAGTTTCATACATCCTTTTTAGAATGGACATTTTCATCCCTTACAACAAAAGGATATCTTCAGAATACCCTCAGGTTATAGCCATTGCAAATGTAATTTTGGCGTATGAAATGACTAATGCATATATCAAACATAAATATTGTATCATAAAAATGTTTCACAATGCCTTAATCTCTGCTCCGTAATTAATGTGTTGTTTTATAATTAAATTGTTTCTTAAAAGACAGCTAAAGAAGAATGATTCACATGCAAGAAAAACAAGTTTAAATAAATTTTTAGTATTGCTTTTTTATCCAGTTAGGCTTTTAAAGAAGAGTTGACTTCTTTACAAAGAACCTAATGTGCACATACTTAGTTTAAAAACGTTCCAATAACGTATGTTTGAGAATGTTCCTGGAATATTGTTCAAAAATTAAAAATACTATGAGGCATGCAAAAAATCTTTTGAATTTTGAAGTAAATGTACAATCTTCTTTTTGAATAAATGTTATCGAATTTAAAATTACATTAAAAGAATTCAAAACGTGAGATCCAATATTGTTTGTCCAACAAATTTTAAGTAGGTAATTTTATATTTTTACCATAAGTTATTAATATAAAATTATAATGTTCATTACATTTAGTTTGTTGTTATTCAAGTAGCATACTTCGCTGAGAGTATGGTCACTCAATTGAATATTCCACGTGCAGTCTATTGTGTATACAATATTTGGAAATTCTTTTATTACAGAGTTAATGATGTCCTGGTCTGCAAGGCTTGTTTCAGAAAGTGTTACCAGTACTTTTTTTGCAACTGTTTCCCACAAATGTGTAAAATTTTTCTTTCGAAGACTTTGCAAATGCATTAGCATAACACCACTGTTATAACCATTATTTAATGCAGGCCATGGTCTATTTTGATAAGAAACTGATTTTCTATACCAATTACTCTGATTTTCAACTAAGCCTAACAATTGATTTTCGTTGAAATAATTAAATCTTTTCCATAAAAGACTGATGTCATTCAGTACAGTTAGATCAGCATCAAGAACAATAATTTTTGATTCGTGTATAATTTCCGGTAATACCAGTTTTAAAAGACCGTATACTCCAGAATAGTGTTTATTAGGAATCCATGAAACTTGATGAACCCAGTTTTCAATTTTGTAGTATGTGTGGTATACTGTCAAAATAAGCAGAAAGATAACATTAAATAGAATTAATATACAAATAACAGTAATGTTTAAACTTTTATAACTCTACTTTTTGTAAAACCTGTATTAATCTTCTAATTGAAGATCAACACAATACTTATTAAATAAGAGATTTAAAATTAAAGAGACTAGAATTATCTGAGTGTATGGCTTTTATGCCCGAACGTTTAGCGGACACAAAAATGTTCTAAAATACGGATGTCTTTTAGGGACATAGGGACACTTAGCATCATAGGGATCTATGATGCTCTTTGGACAAGATAGCATACTTAAGATGGTTCAAGGTTTCTCTCAAGAAAATCTTTTAGTTAAAGATAGTTTACATTCTTATTTTTAAGGGAGATAAGGTTAATTCGGTAAAAAAATACGTACACTGAAAAAAATTGTTTCTTTAAAAAAAGCAATTTTTGCCTTAGTTAATAATGTTAAAATCACAAGGCAATTTTTTATTTGAATATTTAGAAAATACGATATGAAATAATTATGTTTTACCTTTTTATTAAATATATTTGCAATTCGAGAGAAAAGGGACTTTTATTTTTATTATTACATTAATAATATTTTACTTTAATTAAATAAAGAAAATAATAGAACTATACTTTATCAATTTCAATAACAGTTATGCATGTGTGAACTTTATAACCAAAATGGTCTAGTTTTATGCGTAAACAATTTTATTAAAAAAATAAAATTAGTAACTTTAAATATTTCAACAAAATTTCCTCGATTCCATTTCAGTAGTAAATTTCTTACTTTGGTATCAATTATTTTTATTAATTATAAAATTAGATTTGACATATGTAAATAATTTACTTGAAAAATGACAAGAATTTGTTACCTTATTAACTAAGGCGAAAATGGCTTTTTTAAAAAAGAAATAGGGGAGGGTAGGCTACATTGAACCGGGTATTTTATAAAGTCCAAGAACTAATTAAATTTTACTAATTTCGATCAGGTTTTTGTATCAAAATTAAGCTGAAGTACTCCTTTAGTTAATACACACGTTACAAACACAAATTATTATGATTAAATAATTAAATTTAATTTTTTTCTAGCCAGTTACACTTTTCTTATTTTGAAGAATGTGTGTCTACATTGAACCACCTCTAATAAAACACTACAATTTACTTCAAAAATAATATTTCCACTTACACATTGTAAAAAATCTTATTTTCCACTCAAAAAAATAGAAAATTGTTATTTAATTGTTATTACTTGTTAATATAGGAGATTAATGTATTTTAATGTCAGGTTAGGTAGGTAAAGTGACAGTTTGAGTTTATCTCGTTCACAATTGTGATGAAAGCATGTCTTCCAGTATTTTTCTTACTAATTAGTAGAGCAGACAATTTTACAACTCTTAAGGGGAGGTTCCCATTGCGGGAGTCAAAAAAATTGATTTCTTTTTTATTGTATTTTTTTAAAGCTATATATATGTAGAATATGTGTGTATAGCGATTTTTTGATCCGAAGAATATTTCGTTTTTATGAAGTCTTGAACTCACCGCCGTCCCGAGCACTGAGTAACAAATGTCAGGCAAATCGAATCAATTTTTAAAAATTTTGCAATTCTGACCTCAGAATCGTAAAGAGCGACCCTAAATACCTATAGATATTTATCATATACGCAAATTGAACAAAGAATTGCAAAGAATACAATTATTGCACAAAAATGTTTCTCAAACCTTAAACGCGTTTTTCTCGAAACAAGATTTTAAAACTGGTGGGCATCGTAGCGTCTAAACTATTTAATCAATCAACTTCGGGTTTGCGGATAATTAAAGGTAACTAAATTCTACTGGGGTTATACCTATAATATGATAAAATTGTTAACAATAGAGATTTTTACAAGAGATCAAATATGTAAAAATAATGCGAAAACGCAGTTTTTTTAAAAATGTGTCCGCCATTTTGTCATTTTATTAACTTTTTAACTATTTTATAGGTATAACCTATTCTTTAGGATGTCACCTTTATAAAAAATTTTGAGTTTTTGTTTTAGACTAAAAATTGCGCAGTGTAGAATGCCCACCGTTTTCCCTATTTAAAAAAACATTATTTTCTAGATGCGCCATATTGGCCGCCATTTTGCATTTTTTTGAAAATGAAATATATATTTTAAAAGTTCAAGAATGTATCTTTATTTAGAAAAAAAAATTACATCGTTAAGTCATAGCCGTTCCTCGCAAAAAATTGTCAAAGTTTGTGTTTATTTTGCCCCCCGCAATGAGAACCTCCCCTTAAAATTGAAAATTCTTTGCTTTTTCGGGTGGTTCAATGATGCCGCACTCACTGTATTCACATGACATTCACAACAAAAATTGTTTATAATAAATTTGTGTAAGATTTAAAGTTCTTTATCACATCGGAATATTGAAGTTGACACCCTAAGCGAAATAAATCGCAAGTTTACTAATTTTTAAAACTTCCTATTTCAATAAAAAAACGTCATTATAATTCCACCAAATTTTTTGTTTTGTACGTGAAAAACAGTTTTTTTTAGTTTTTCTTTGTAAATAATAAACCTACGTGCCCGAAATTTTTGGACATAGTTTGTTTCAGTAAAACTAACTTATATATTAAATAAGAAAAAATTTCACTCAGTCATTTCTCAGAAAATTGAAGTGGTTCACTGTTGACGCTGGTTTAATGTAGCCTACTCTCCCCTAATTGCTGTGCGTGTATTGCTTTTGTACTTCGTTAAAAATTTCCTATGTAGGAGAGAGAGGGGCAAGACGGGGTACTTAAGGTGTAAAGCGCAAAAAAACGAAAATTATCAAATATACATTTTATTTAATAACCATCTTTGGGAATCAGTCTGTCGTAATAAAGGCGTACAAAGGCCATCTGTTTCTTAAAAAAGCATGAAATTAATAATATGGAAAAAATTGCAAATCTCCCCATCTTGCCCCACCGGCGGGCAAGATGGGGTACTAAAAAAGCAACCTATTTCTGTCGACAAATTTTACAAGTGAAGGTTGCATCTTCATCTTTGTCATCGACACAAGCACAACTGCAGTGAACCCATTGGCCGCAGACAGAACAAGCAGCCCAGCCTTCATTTGAGTCTAAATAATAACCATTACAATTTATAGAGACAAGGTGTATTTTCCACTTTACCATCGCTAATTATTGATTTAACCTGACAAGCTTTTTTCTTTTTGGTCACTCTTATATTATTCAGTCTTGATTTAAGTAGTTTTCTTAACTTCCCTTATTTCTCTTTTCTTTTGCTTCATTTGTGTACTCTGTCTTGCCCCACTCTCCCCTATACCCTATCTTGCCCGCACCTACGAAATTGAATAAAACGATTAATAAATTACTACAATTTACGATTCAACAAAGAAAAAAAACATATGCTTCCCTTCTTCCGTAACCCTCGCCAGTTAGAAAAATTTTTATATAGTTCATTAACTGTTATTATTAAATAATAAACACCTCCTAAAAAAGTGAAAAAATTACAAGAAATTTGTCGAAAACAGTTTTTTTTAGTAAAACAGATAAAAGATTTGTTCTCATGGCTTTTAGGTTTTATAAACAAGAAACTATCGCCTCGGTGCAGTATTATGTAAAATATAATCGCGAAATATAATATAATTTGGAATAATAATGAATTATAATGTTAAATATTATAATTATTATTAATTATAATAATATTTATTAATTGAACAATAATTATTAATAATTATAATAATTAATTAATAAATAAATAATAATTAATTAAATTAATATTAAAAGTTAACATAATTAATAAAATTATTAAATATGATGCAGTGTCAGGAATATTTATTGCACATTTTAATTATTATTTATTAATTATCTATAGTAATTTTGAAAACATTTATAAAAAAAATTTTCTATTTAACTTTCTTTAAATATGAATGTTACAAATAATAATATATTTATACTAAATAAATATAAATATTTATTTATCAATTGATAACTTAATGTTAATTATTATTATTATTTGAAACAATTATTATAATTATAATTATTATAATATTATTTAATTAAGTGAACACGGTAATAAATAAAGATAAACTGAATATTGTGTAAAGATTGATTCAAGCTTGAATCAAGATTAGATGTTCGAGCTTCACTCATAAAGATTGACCGAGTCTTGAATCGAGCATGGGACAAGCATTGGGTCCAATGTTGAACCAATATTGAACTAATATTGATTGACAGTGATGTAAAGACTGCTTCTACTGTAAGTTACCCACACTGAGCGTTCAAGACTCAATCAACCTTTAATCTATCGTCAGCATTGGTCTTTCGCGCCTGGGTAACCTTCATTTTTACTTGTTTAATTTCATGAATTTTATTAAAATTAAAATGTAAATAAAAACCCAAAAAAATAATAGATTTGTTTCAGTAAAAGTAGCAGGAAAAAATGAAAAATTCACCTCGACTGTGGAAAATGGCTAGACGTATCGTGATCGACATCTCATTTAAAAAGAAAAAAATATTTTCAGTCGGGATTTTTTGGAAAATATAGAAAAATATTATTGACCCGCGCACGCGCTGCTCTCGGAAATTTTGCGAAATTTTTATAAATAATTATTGAAAAAAATGTTTAAACATTAAAAAAAGGGTTATGAACGGTTTGGTATTGACTTCTCATTTTGAGAGAATCAAATATTTCGGGTTCATATTTGGAGGGATGATAGAGGAATTTCACTCACTGAGACGCGTCTCTCTCCGTTTTTGCAATAATTTTGCCAGGAAATTATGTCAGTGGAGTAATTTGAGATTGAGAATTTCGTTAGTTCAAGTCGCGACCACTTCCGAGAATTGACGCCACCTCCTTGACCACTGACACATAGATCCACTTGTCTGTGTGCTCACCGTCATATTGTCTCACTTTCGCCAAAATTAAAACTTTTTAATTTTCTTTTTCAATATATTTTTCAAAAATTACCTGCAAATTTCGAGAATATTCTTTATCATCATGAATTCTCCTAATTAT